GGAACATCCATGTTGATTAAATCATAGATCTATTGGAGTACTTATATATTCTTTCAGTGATACAATATGACTAAAAGTTGTAAAATAGTACAATTTCTGAAGAATCAAATTTAAAGGCAATGGAGAGACACGTGTTGGACATGTGTAGGCTAGAACAAACTACCAAGCAAGAATTGCTCAAGAAAGACAGAGTAAAGGTTGTCATCAGAGAACTATATGAACAAAAAAAGGTGGGCCAGCCATTCAGTAAGAACACAGGATAGATAGATCGCCTTTGTGCTCCAGGGTATCCAAGAAATATCAAATGAATTAGAGGAAGATCCTCAGCATATTGGATTGGTCTCATCTTTCCCATAGAGGCTTTCCAGGAAGACTTGGATTAGAGTTGGACAAGATGGGCACCTTGGACATGTTCTCATTTGTCCTTTAGGGAGCAGTACCCATATCTGTGATATCAGAAAACCTCTACACAAAGAGAATCACAGAATTTTAAATTAGGAAAGGACTTCATCTAGGACTAGAAAATCTATCTAGTCCAAACTGTCCCCAAAAAAAGAATCCCCAGTACAACATAACCAACAAATGATCATCTGGCCTCTGATTGATAACATCCAGTAAGGTCTAATTAACCATTAATCTCCTGAAAAAGCAAGATTGAGCCCTAAATACAATTTGACTACTCCTCTTATATTCTAAAATGATTGTCTTTATCATAAATATCATATAACATCTACCTGCCAATAACTAATTGATACAGTGAAAGAATTGTGCCCTATTACCCATTATGTTATACAGGAATTTTAATACTGGTTTACTGCTTATACCCCTCTTATATCCCTAGATGTCTTAGTTAAATATTTTTCAATTAATTGAATTAATATAAGCCTTACAATTTCATAAATGCACTAATTTCCTTATGTCAACAGACCAACCTGACTGTTATTCTGGATATTGTTTCATCCAACCCATCTCCTAGGAATCTTTTCCTGCTAAAACTTCTTGCCACCCCACCATCCATCCACTTCAACTGCACTTTCTCCAGAACTTCCCTTTTCCAAATATGTTTTAATGCTGATAAAATCACCTTTCACTGACTGAAGGTCAGGACTGAAGGTCCGGGGCTGCATTCCCCATTCTTAAACCAACCCCAAGGATATTCCAGAAATTGGCATTATATTGATGGAGAAGTCAAATTTAGATAGATCCATTTGAAGGCCCCTGTATTATTGGAGAGATGATGTGAGAAAGGTCATTGAAGGAATGAGTGATGTTAGAAGAATGTGAAAATGTTGGACATTATACTGGAAACAGCTGTAGATTTTTCTCCCATTCTTTTGTGTTTTAAATGAATAAAAATCCCTCAATTCTATAGGAATGACAGCACTTTTCTTGAGAGTAAATTGGAGACTTTGTTGTCTTAAAAGTTTCTGAAAAGCACAATAATAGGCACTGGGAGATATAGCCAATCTTTAACAGCTCCATCACTGTGCAGAGTATCTCAGATTTTAAAAGACCCCAGTGTTCTCTGAGAATAGTGGACTATGTGACATTCTACATGTAGTCATTCCCTCTGGGCGCTTATCATTTGTTGTCTGAAAATGCACTTTATCTTAACTTTAAAGTCCTTGTTTTTCTTCCCATAGACAAAATGGCAGCTAAAGGCGTGCAGAAATATTAAGTATTTGATTTAACAACCTTGGCCAAGGAGAACAATGGAGGAAAGTTTGTCTCAGTGTTTGATTTGACCTGAGAGAGAGTCTCTAGACTTATTTTCTAAACAGGACCTCAGCACCTGGGGCCAGCAAAGTGGCCTTTAAGCTTGAATGAGCAGGGTGGTTTTTTTTATTATTTCCCCTAGTGCAAAGCTCCAGTATTTCATCTTTTCAAACTCTTTTACAGCACTCAGTGCAGAATTATATTGACAAGGGTAGAATTTATCTCCTGAAGGAGAATACTATGCTTCTGTTAAGTGCTAATATAACATTTATGCGTTGGTACCTTAATAACAGCCCCAGCTTACCTAATGAAAGTACTGAAAGCAAACAGTACTCTGTGAGATTTTATTATGACTGAAGTGACTGCAATTTGAGGCCAATTATCCCTATTTTTGTTCCCATATCAAAAACAGAGATGCTAAAGCAATTGCTACATGTTTGGTATGGAATTAGGTTCCACTATCGTTAATCTACAAGTAAGTGCATTTTTCATGTAAACAGCTCGCGAGGGTCAGGCAGAAGAGCTGTTTCTGTGAAAAATGCTTGTCAATAACTTTGTGAGTGAATTTTGAAATAAAGTGCCTGTAACCTGTCATTATTCCTTCCTCTCAAAGTCGAGAGTAAGTGGATGAAAATTGAGCATGTGAATTGAAAGCAGGGTGAGTGTTATGGCCTTATCGACTTGAGGTAAAATGACTGTTTTAACTTGTTATTATTTTTCCATTCAAAGGTCAGGCAATGTGCAGTATTCCCAGTATAGACTGCAGTGTAAGCAAATTGGTATACAAAAAGGCTATTACCCATACCCGCAAAGCAGAGGAAAATATAAGTCACAAATATCGAGTGGACTTGTAATCTCTGAGAAAAAAGAAAACACCCAACAGAGTTCTGAAAAAGAATAGTTATAGGAAGGGAAGCATAAGCCATCAAAGAAGGAGAAAATATAAACCTGTTTAAATTAAGGTACATGTGTGCAGAATAGGATAGGTGAAGCTAGCTCTTTTCATGACCATTTTACCAAAAACCTACAAAGTCTCTTTACGCTCTGGAGGAATAAGTTATAGGAACATACTTTCTCTGTGAGGAACACATGTATTCAACATGCATAATAGAGCATGTCACTCTGAGAAATCAGATATGTTGCTTGAGGTAAAATGCTTCAAATTTCATTTCATATTTAAAATTTTTCATATTTGGGTAAGAGATTAAGTGAAAGTTATTACCTGCTATATATAAGTGCATATGATGAGATGATTTTTTTTTCACAATTAGAATATTGCTGCAGTTGTCTTTTTCACCAGCAAAGCTTCCAAGCACCAAAAACCTTTTCTGGGTCTTCTACATTTGGCTTCCACTTTTAAGAAGGGCTTAATAAACTTGGACACTTTTGAGGTTTATCACGAAAACTTTCTCACTTACAAATAACCTCAGATCTGTGGAACTTAGGATATTTCTTCCTATTCTTTAGATGCAGTGCCTTCTGTTTTCAGAAGAATGCATCCAGTGCTTTCAATACAAATTGCGCCAATATGTATCCAACCAAAAAAAGTGGGAACCAACTGACTGAATTAATAAAGAGATTGTGGTACCATAATTGCAATTAAGTTGGTAAAGGATTTTTTTTATCTTCCTATGAGTGTTCTCAGTACATTACAAGGCATATAAAGGCATTGTTTCTTTTAACTTAAACAAGTCCTTCCTGGCTTCAGAGTAACAACTACATTTCACATTTCTTTTATACAAACATCAAATAATAGGAACACATCAACTGAAGGTTCCATGTTTACTGTTAGCTTAGTCAGTCAGATCCCCATCTGGTCCATTTCGCTATCCTTCCAAGCCACAGACTATAGGCTCCAAGTAGACATACCGCCAGATATGTGAATGGACTAACGCGAATCCATCGTTACTGGGGGAGAGGAGAGAGGAATAGACAATTAAAGTACAGACCTTATTGGCAGTAGTTCCAAAGCACTATCTTTGTATATCCAGGACTGTGCATTTTGCAGGATTAATACCAATGTTGCCAAATGAGATAATGTTTGTGAAAGCACTTTATAAACTCTAAAGTATCATACATACAAATATAATTATTTGGTCATGTTGTGGAAATAACCCAGGGTTTTCAAAGAGAGTGCTATGTCTCTTGAGGGTAAGTTGCATCAAGTCCTACTGAATTTGAAAGAGTTTAGCTATGGTTCCCAGTGACTACTGTGTCTCTGTCATGCTGGAACCAACCTAGCTAAATAGAAAGTGGATTAAGGCCACCAAGTGGTGATTGGTAAGCCAAAAAGGGAGAGGTAGGGCTGGCAATAGCAACTCATCAAACAGTTAAAAATACAAAATGGTCTTCAGTTCTAAAGGACCCTCAGTTCTATAGGATGCCTTTCCATATTGGTGCTGACCAAAATGTGAAGAAGGAACGGAAGGTACTATTAAGTTTTATTTTGTTTTGTTTTGACCATTGACTAATATTACTTTAACTATTAACACTCTCAATATATGTTCTCTGTCCAACAACCAAAGAGTTAATATACTACTAGAGGAACTGAACCATATCCATAATGACAGTCTCACTATAAATGACACCAGACGGTATCATCATGATGTTTAATGCAAAGCAAAAATCTTTCTGAAAGACATAAATAGAGAAGATGAGCAAACAGTTATTTCTGGCAAGTGGACAAATTTGTAATTACCTGGAATGGCAGCTGCTCAGTGAGAGACATGATCTAACAAACCAAACCACTATTAATAATACATTGCAATCTTAAGTCTTATTGGTATACACATGAATGTATTAAGCTATTTTGGTATACATAAGTATCGGTTTATATATTTATGTATGATTTGTTATTAATATGCATAATGTTTACACATGAAATCTTGTCTCCTCTGAAATAGAAACATGAGCAGAATAGTTAGATAATCTTTGAGAAAACAAAGAAAAAATTGAATAAAATTCCTGGATAAAAAAAATCCCAGCCATTCAAAATACAAACACCTGCACTTAAAGCATGAAGAACTAGTGATATGTTCATATGTAGCTCTTGGGAGTAGTAGATGGACTTCAGTGAATGTTGTTAATTATGGACATCCAGGCTACAGAGTGTATTAATGTTATGAATGAGCTAATATTTATCTCATCAGCAAAGCAGAAACACTAAATATGGCCCCTTGGTTTCAACATGGTCTCAAATTCCTTTGCTTATATTAAGAGAGTTTTGGAAGGCTTGGCACATCCCTTCTAAAACTGAGATTCCACCTATTTTGTTTTATTTTTAGGAAGAAGACCCTGAGACCTATGGCATCACCAATGAGACTAATGGGATCCTGGTAATTGCGGTAATTCCCCGTCTTCCTAGAGATGCTGCGATTGAGTGGCACGTCATCGCAGTGGTGGATGAGCCACTTCAAAGAAAGCATTTTGTATTGGAGAAGAAGTCTCAGGGTTGTCTAATTGAGTGTGAAGCTGTTGAGTCCGTTTCTACATCCTGTGCCTCCATCTCCATCTCCCTGAGATGGCCGTCATCCTCTAGTTCTTCACCTGATTTAAACCAGGCTCTTCAAGATTTGGTGGCTGTGTTCTTACAGGCAATGGGGAGTCTATCTGGAGACCAAAGGGTGATGCCACTGTGCTTCAGGACTTTCTATAAGAAAGACAGCATCGACATCACAGCTCTGCATACAGGTATGGTAACTAGGAAAAGAGAGTGAATGATGTTATGTGTGCATGAATGCTTAACTTCAACGCATAGTCTATACACATCATCACAAAAAATGAACATGTCACAGAGTAGAAGACTGACATTTATTTGGCGAAAGTATTGGTCTGTGGAGAAGTTTTATATTTCCTCTAAGGCCATCTATGGAAGGCCACTTGATCAAAAGTTCTGAACCTAAGGTTATGTTTTATTGTTGACAGGCTATACAGGCAGAAGAGACAGTACATTTAGCCAGTAAATGGCATAAACTGACATATCTTTTATTTTAATTCAATTCAACTCATTTTTGGCATGTACTATGTATATTGTTCTAGGTGCTGGAAATTTAAAGATTAAAAAATGGCAGTCCCCTATCCCCAAAGAGGATGGTTCACATTTTCACAAATGAAAATGGTAAAAAAAAAAAAAAAAAAAATTATCACAGAGCCAGTTCCGTGTGAGGAGCACAGGTTGACCAAATGGACTCATAATTTTCCATTCCCATGTCATCTAGCATTCCTATAGAGATATAACTTTCTTCACACCAAACTCCCTAACATAGTTTTTCAATATGTATGTAATTCTTGTCACAATAGGTATGTTCCTGAAAAACTATGTAAATCAAATTGTATATTAAATGCTGTAGGGGAGACTTGCTCCTTGAATCCTTTGATAATGCAAAGAATCCTAAAGTACAGTGTAGAAACATACCCTAATGTATTTGTTGTGTACCAATTTGAATATATTGAGTTTGAATATTTTATTTGAGTATATTGAGTTTGTTTGAAACAGGCTTCGTTTTTTATTTTCGAATTAGGAGGACAAAATCCAATCACCGGTGCATTGCAAATTGGAAATCTGTGTAGAATAATGACGTGCCCTGTAATTTAAACTTTTCAAAACACTTTGACATACATTATCTCATTTGATGCTCACAACAACCCAGGAAATAGATTAGGACTGGTAGGATTAGCCCCAGAGGAGGAGCCGTTAGAGCTTAGATAGTTTTCACAAGGTTACATAGTTAGATCAGAAAGAGTTGATCTAGAGCCCACGCTTTCTGACTACTAGTTCAGGACTTTTCTACTTTGTTACCACCGCTGCAAATGGATAATACACAGATGATGATTCTTTGTGTATCCCATTGGAAGCTTTGAAATAGATTCACAAAGAAAAGACCAGAAACTGTACAATAATGTCATATTTAATTTGCATGAATTTTTTTTGAGGGGGGCAGTTTAGAGTTTTTTGCATATGGCATAATTGAGCATTTTGTTAGTTTATTAGAACCACCCTGGTATAGTAGGCTAGGGTGCTAGACTTTAAATCAGTTAAGATCGAGGTTCAAATACAGTCTTTGACATTTATTAGCTTTGTACTGGTTCAGGCAACTCCCTAGGAGTTATCTTTAAGGAATCTTATCTATATAGACCAGTTGCCATCTGCTGTAAGTGAATAGAAGTTCCCTCCTATACTGTCTGAGGAAATCATAGACCTTTTGCAAATTTCCATAATCTTGTTAACTAAAATCCAAAATAGACTTAAAGTATTACCCTCTTACAGTTTTGGATGGGAAGAGATATATTAAACCTAAGTGCCTGTATAAGATCAGATTTTACTTTCTTGATCTCTAAAATAATTGTAATTATATTTCTTTTACGTGCATACACATTGAGGAAGGAGGGGAGGAATAGAGAAGGAAGAAGAGGTCAGATCTGTGATTTTGACATAGGTAATGCCAGTGAGAAAACTCACTGGTATTTTGTTGTTGTTCAGTCTTTTCAGTTGTGTTCAACTTTTTGTTGACCCCACTTGGGGTTTTCTTGGCAAAAATACTGGAGTGGTTTGCCATTTCCTTCTCTGGCTCATAAAAGAGGAGGAACTGAGGCAAACAGGGTTAAGTGACTGCCCAGGGTCATACAACTATGACTTACTATGCCAAATAGGTCGTAGTAAGCATCTGAGGCTATATTTGAACTCATATCTTCCTGATTCTAGGCCCAGCCCTCTATCTGTTGAGCCACCTAGCTGCTTCCTTCTCAACCAATGCAAATCAGTAGGGCACTAAGATGTTAAGTGACTTGCTCAGGGTCACACAATCACTATGTGTCAAAAACTGTAGTTGAACTCAGTTCTTTCTGACTGGAATCAGGCTATCTACCGTGCTGTACTCTATACATAAACACACACACACACACATATACACACACATGCAAGAACGTGGACAAGGTATTCTCACATGTTCATTGGATATTGGTGAAACAACAACTGATCTATATTAATTGTCTGACATAAACATTAGCTCTCTAAGATTCTACTGTCTTATTTTCTCCCACTTAACCTGAAGCAGTATTCGAAGGAAATTCAACTTGATATTGTTTAATAGATTTAAAACACAAGAATAGAAAGCAATGAAAATGTGGCATAGAAACAAGCTTTTCTAATTCAGGAAGGAAGGAATGAACATATAGCCTGACAGAATGTTGTTGTTTTACTCTGACTTGTTTTAGGGAGAAAAAGCAACCTGATAAAATATATTTGTTTGCAATTCGCCTGCTTGATCGATGACGTTCCACAGATCTTATAATGTTCTTTGAATAAATTATGCTTTTCTTGTTCAAAAGGAAATTTGCAGTGCTTAAATATTGCAGTTTATGTGGAGGATGGGAGGAACCGTGCTAAACTCATGTTGTACTAATGGCATTGGGTGCAGAGTGAGTCATCATGGTTTTTATTTATTCATTCATTCTTAGATCTTTTTAAAACTCTCAGAGGCCCTAATGACCATCATCATTATCATCAGTGAGACATACTTTCTGTTGAAAAGGCAATAGGCATTAAGTTTAAAGGCAGTACTAAGTTATCAGTAAAGAGGACTTGAAAAAGAGCAGCATTCATATTTCTGGCTGAAACACACAGAAAGGTGACGTGGCTAATGTCAGGCAAGCTTTTTCAAAAAAGTTTGTGACTTAAGCTATTTGCTTCTCCAGAGTGACCACATATGAGATATTAAAAGTATGAACCAGTTTCCATGCTCTGGTTCAGTATCAGGAAGTGAAGTTATCAGGAATAATATGGAATACAGCGTGTTTAAATGTTCCATTAATATATGACTCCTGTACAGATTGTGAGGCATAGAACCTGATGCTTAACTGTGTCAGCTAACTAAGGAGTCCTTCCCAAATAAAGGAGTAAGCCAGCAATTAGCTGGCATTTGAAAAGCCAAGAAAGCCAGTGGGAATAGTAATTCTGCCTTCCACCTCTGTTTTATTCTGCTCTCTGACCTTTGTCATTCTAAAGCCAGAGCTCATCAGACACGGGCAGGAATAGCCATCTCTTACTATCACCTTCACTCTCCCACAGTTGCACCACTACTTGGCAAGTGGAGAGAAGCTGTTGGAAGGAATTAGTAGGAGGGGAATAAAGCAGATAAAATCTTTCCATACCCTCACCCCACATCATGGAGAGCCGAGGAATCAGAGTACCAGAAAAAGACTGCTTTGGGTTTCATTCTTCATCATGATATTTTTAAATGGACAGATCTTGAATTGACCCAACATTTCTAATCATCATGTGTATACACATAAATACATATGTATGTATATGTATGTACATATATAATGTTATTGATTAGTGTTTGTGGCTAAATAGGGTGGCCTCTTGATCTGATGTGTAGACTTACTTAGAGCTTGTAGAAATACAACTTCCTCTGACACGAATTCCTAGTTTGATTCCAATGTCATGTTTTCCACTGGCTCCTTACTGATGTCTCAAAGGATAGAAAATATTTCTTCTGTCTTTTTCTTTTATTGACTTTTTGAAATTGAAGCTGTTTCCTTAGCCTCTTGCCTTTTTTTGTCATCTACATTCAAAAAGGTGACAGGAATTGTAATTTATAGGGATGAACTATATATACATACACACTAGATATCCTTCTTTGAGCATATGGACCATTTCCTCTTTGAGATACAGCAGGGTTATAAGTGAACTTCTACTTTGAGAAACATCCTCTGTAATTTGCCTTTTTTTGATAAAGTTTTATTGACATGACCCTCAACAATAAGATCTAAGTATCATTCGCTTTCCTTAGGAAAACTGAATGAAGTATAAGAATACATCCTACTGTTCTCTTCCTCAATATCTTCTCAGCATAAGGTACTATGGTGCTTCAAGTCTTTGTTTTATGATAATTAATATTTAATAATAATGCAGTATGTTAAGGTTTACAAAACACTGTACATTCACTAAGTTATATACTGCTTACAACAACTCTGTGAAAGGGATTAACTTTCAAATCTGGGTTGGAGTAGATGGCCCCTAAGGTCCATTCCAACTCTGTGATTTTCTGAGTATGAGTGACTGCCATTTACTATTAACAGAAGCAAAAAAGTCAGGAAGAGAAACCAGTTCAAAGGTAAATATTAGTTCAATTTTAGATAAATTATCCAAATTTAGAAAAACTTAAGGCACCAAGTAACAGTGCATCCAAGTAGAGATATCCAGCAAGCATCTGAAAATAAAGGAGAGTGATAAATCTATAGATTTAGGAGTCATTGGCATAAAGTGATCATTGAAGCTCTGGCACAGTATTAAGAGTCAGAGGATTTGGGTTCAAATCCTGTCTTGTCACTTGGGCCTCAATTTCCTCACCTGCAAAATGAGGGGGTTGGACTAAATGACCTCTCAAGTCCCTTCCAGTCTAAATCCATCTAAGTGAGTATAGTCACCAAAGTGGAAAATGCAGAGAAAGAAGAAAAGTGAGAAAGGTGTCCCACGAAACAATATATATAGGCAGATGCTATTTGACACTGCAAGTATGTCAGCAGGTAGGTACTATAGGGCAGAAATTAATTACTTGGGTCTCAGTACATAATGCTTATGTGATTTGGGATTGTGAAAGCTAAATAGACCTCATTGCTATTGGTATCACTGAATCCTCTGTCCCACCAGCCTGACAGATTTTCATATGATAGCAAAAAAAAAAAGT